CAACTCAAGAAACACAACGCAATCGATGTCCGTTTCAATACAATTCCGCATGATTAGTCAGTTCGTTTTATGTGACGAAAAGAACACCCCAACGCCTAGTTTTGCGATATAAACTTATCCACCACAAAAATATGCAAATTTTTGCAACTAGGTTTGGAAAAATTATGGTGCTCAATGATGTTAATTTTGTCCAAATACTCATGGGGAATAAAATGATTTTGCAGACTGTCGCCAAAAACTGGTTCATCAAAACAAGACACTCTTATTTGACATGACTGAAGTTATTCATTATCTGCTGAATCAGGCTATTTCTGTAGATCTTATCTGCTCTCAGCGCAAGGGTAACAAATAGTCATTTGATTTGAATAGAGCTACCATTGCATACTGCCCTAGGCAACCATGGTTGCCAAGGCTGAAAATCAGATCAGTATAATAGAAGTAAACATATATCAACTTGATCACATTATAATTGGACAAGTGTCTGCTTGAACAAAAGACGAACTGATAAGACCGGTGCTACTTAACTATGATTGGCGCCTTACTAGGAATACAAGTATACATACGAAGTGTTAAATACAATGAACAAGTACATATTTTAATTGGCTCATGGTTTCATTGGTGACAGAGTTGAATTACAAATGCAATTATTAAGGAATGTTTTTGAGTTTGTACATACATGTGTATGTAGCCTAAATTTAAGGGCTTCTATAAGACCACCTATCTGGGTTGCACCCTTGTTGTCTAAAGTTCCATATTAGGTTTTCACTTTACTGATACTGCTGATAATGATAATGAAAAATGTGAAAATATGAAAACACTAATAATGAATTTGTTGTTTATTTAAGAAAGCTATTTCATGTGACTACAAGAAAAAAACAGGGAAACTACTGATATTTTGAACTAATTGATCTACCAATACTCTGTCCAGCAAATACACTCTCATTAATTTATCTATATTTTATTCTCATTTTTATTATTGTATTGTATTTAGAATTGTCTTAGTCGTGTAATACTTTTTATTTATCATACTGAACCCGCTAATGGTTCAGTAGTGTAATAAAGTTATTATTATTAATGCCATGTGTGGATGCATTGGAGACCTCACAATATATTAAAAAAAAATATGTAAATATTCTAAATTTTCAGTAGTCTTGAATATCTGAATACTGAACAGGGTTTTTTCTTTGTTATTATTGGTAACACTCTATATATTTGTTATAACTGATCATAATCTACTGACTGTTCCAGGTTTGGTAAGAGGACATAAGCCTGGGGTATGAGGGCGCTCCACTCTTTACCCTGTCTGAAAGAACCCCGGTTGAAGTTCAGGCTCTTAAACAACGATGGTCATTGTGCCACGCATGCATCATATATGGGTCCCATATAGACATTTTTCACAATGAATGTTGTGCAGATCACATTATACAACAAAAAAGATGGCTTGTATAAGTAAATTACAAATTGAAGCATGTCTCCTAGCCTGCATGAGCACTGTGTGCATTTCACCCAGATCAAAAATCACATGACTTACATGCCACTATATTGAATCGGTGGGTTGTGGGAAGATGAATGAGTTCATAAAATCTCGAACACGTCTGGTGTGAAAAAGGATACACATGCTACCTACTTGTCAAACTCATAATAATTGCATCTAGTTGGAGAGAACGTAAAACTGTTGATTCTGTGTGCTTTACTCAGCAGTGAGAAAGAAGTACATACTACTAACTTGTTGGCTTGAAGTATTCATAGTTGGAAGAATTGTGTTTAGTCGGAGAAGAAAAAAATATTGTGCTGTTCCACCCTTACTTGATGTTGAAAAATCAAAATGAGTAGCTGATTGTGGTGATGACTAGAACTTACTACCAAACAAAAAATCCTGCATAAGGCAATAGAAAACCACTGCACAGGTCCAAGATTCTGAAATACGTTGAAGAACAAGTGCCAGCATCAGTGTTGGATATGGTATCTCTATTACGGTACAATGCGACTTTTGGCACTTCAGTAATACTATACTGAAATTTTGGCCAAGTTATGCAGTCAGGCAAATTCACTAAAATATCATGTACATGTAGTTATTTTGAAGTGTTGAACACATTCTGGTGACATTTTATAATGTTTCAAGTCCATGAGAGAAATTTGCACTTACTTGTTAAATTTTGGAATTCGTGTGAACGTGGAAAGACCTGTGAAGTATACAGAGAGCATTTAAAATTAATATCACAGCTGCTACAAGAAAACATCAGTTTTAAAATACTCTCCATAGAGGGCATTGTGCATAATTACTGGCAATATCACATTTCTCAAGTTTGTCTGTTGGTGGCGTTGTCCTCAAAATGTTTAAATCCTAACATTTCTTGAACAATGATAGTAATGTAACATTTATCATGACTTCGCGTTGGTGGCTTTGTTATCATAGATTTCAGTTTACATTTCGCATAAAACATAAAATCTGCATAATTGAGGTAGTTCTAAAATAAAATAACATTTCAAAAAATATTCCAAGGATGGGACTATGCCACAGGATATGTTAATATCTTCTGATCATATGACGATGAGAATTCGATGCACTATGTCAGCGTCAATCAGGTTTGTTTAAACACAAGCATCCGCAGAACACATTTACTCTAAAGTGGCATCCATTAGTGATCCTTTTCAGGGTACAGATGCTGAACCCAAAGTAGGATTTGAAAAATACGAAGTAGCTGCAGTGATTAGTTATTTACACTAACTAATTAGGGAACTATGGTAAACAGTTGTATACTTACCAAACTGGCATAAAGTGAAGTGAGTAACAGTCTGCTTTAACTTTGTGTACCTCTCAGCGGGAGTATCAAACAGACTAGGATTATTGCCATCATTTGTTTGTAATCCAGTAAACTCAGTATCAATTGCTGCAAACAACAGGTCAAATGTAAGCAATAGAAAGCAGTTATGAAAACAACTTTTGATTACATAGGTAAGATTACATTACATTAATTATAAATGTGTACATGCTTTGCTTAATTTTAATTTAAACTTTTAAAAATCTGCAATTTAAGTTATTTTCCCAATTACAAAAAAAAAAGAATACAATGAATTTAATGAAATTATGAATGTTTTTTTATATAAAAATCTCATAAATGTTTCATGATTTCATAAAACAATTTGGCCAATCACAACATGTGAGTGGACACATGCAGTTAGTTAGTTAGGTGGCCAATTATTGAAAGTCACCCACAAAGACTCATGGGAAATTGTTCTATAGTCAATGAAAGCATATTCGTCAGATTCAAATGACACATTTGGGGTTTGCAGGGTAATTGTTTTAGAAATATTTGATACATTTCCATAAACAAAATCATTCATGCCTTAATGAAATTCACTGTATCCATGACAGTAAATAAAACAGTGCATAATATTTTTTTCCCTTCAATTACTAGTGCATAGTTTAAATATTTTTCTCTGAGAATTAGAACTGTAAATTTGTTCTGTGCATTTTTTTTTTCAATTACGTCATCGCCCCCTGAATTTCTAATGGTCAACGCCAAACATCACTGTGGACAAGTACAGCAAGATCGAGCAGTCAGCATTCAAAAGGTCAGAACAAATTGACCACGCCCCTCAACGACACAAAATTCATAAAGAAATACTCTGAGACTCACCTACATAATCACTCTCGTGTATGTTTTCCAAAATTATTGGTAAATCATCTTCAAAAGTTGATCTAGATACTTCCATTTTTCGGCTTTTCAACTTTAGCGTTGAAAATTGCGCTGCTTTCTCTCTTTCACCAGTGATATAAACCCACTTTTGATTGGCTGGTGCACTACAAATCTGACGAATAGTAGTGGACTTTACAAAGCATATAAGCGTTAACGACTACTAGACTATATTTTGAACCAACCTGTTCACAAAATCCAGTTATAATATTATTATCTCAGTTATATTTACATATATAATTTTTTTTTGTTTATTTGTGCCAGTTCAATTATTTCTTCTTTGAGACGCACAACGCTCTACAAAGTTCACGCTATTTTCTGTACATTCCATCAAAACAGCAATGGCGCCGTGCACAACAACTGAATCGAAGCAGGATAGGTGACAACATTTTTTTTCAAGATGCTGTTTCGTGTTGTTGCCCGCCTTTTAATTTTAGCATTCTTGTGTTACGTCGCTCATTCACAAGGTAGGTTTTGGAATATGGTACCTTATGTGTGTCGTAGAGCCATAACATCAAATGATCACTGAACTGCTTTTAAAACCACAACAGAATGCTGTAATGTATGGTTACGTTATACACAAGAGGTTCGTAGTCCGCTGTAAATGTACACACACACCCCCCAATGTACCCCCACTCCTGACCTTAACTCTTAACACTATCCCTACCCTCCAGCACTCCTCCAATGTAATTGTATATGCCCCCCCCCCCAAGAACATCTATTGATTAGATATCTGATCGGGACTTGGTGAGGGATGGATAGGTGGGATTACACAAAGAACTCTTTCTGTTTTGGCAGGTCTCCTCCACCAAGTGTGTATGATCTAAATAATACTTGATTTACTCAGCCCTTGAATGAATAAATTTATGTAAATGTTGCAACATGTTCCATAGACATGAGAGAATGCCGCCACACAACGTTTTCAAATATTGATACAAAGTATTGTGCCAGAGGCGTTATGCAGTTTAATTTTTAAAATGGCTTTAATATTGGCATAACAATCACAGTTGTATATTCATACATGTATGTATTAGTATTTTTAAATGGACAGCAAATTTTAAGAAATATGTTATTATTAATACATCAGTAAAATAAATAATACAAGTAGAGAATCAGACAGTTGTAATGTGAAACAGAATCATCCCTATATCTATCTTCCTCTTTCTGTAAGCACATGTTACAATAATTTCGTAGTCATCCAGACTTTTCAACCATCTTTTTCATGTTACAGCGTATCTTGGATTTTTATATGGCAACAAAATATTTTTTTCTCTCATATTTGTCATTTGAACCACAAACATTTACCTTTATTTCTTCTTTTTCACAGATGCTGAGTTTACTGCTACAGTCAATGTTGGTATATTGATGTTTGATTCTGCCACAAACACAACAACAGTTACCTCAATACCACAGTCTTTTACAGTCACAGAAAATGTGGACTCTGGCTTACTACCAGTGTATCTGTTGGCTTATAATGATACCATTGTTGACAACTTTCAAGGCATAGAAATTACAGATGATGTAAGTCACAACAAAACAATTGTGTAATGGGTGGATTATGTCTAGAAACTATAGAGGTACTAGTACATGTAGTGGCAATATTTGAAGGAAAAAAAGCAAAACAAATGACAAAACAATTAACAAGAGAACAAATTGTACATATTGGGGAAAAAACTATCCAGATAAAAATGAGGACATATCGAAAATGCATTAAAGATGCTGTATACTTTTTTTTGCTTTGAAACCCAAAATTCTACTTTTTTGTATTTTTCAATGCTGAACTACAAGGAGCAAACACTCAGTAGGAAAAAAAGTGAATTGGATGATTTTATAGTGTGTAAAAATACATTTTTGTTAATTAAAAACAAAAGCACATGTCATTGTTTTGAAAACTATGTTTTAATTAATCAGCCAAAAAAACATAATAGACAGATAATTTGCATAATAGTCACCATCCATAGCAAATATAAACAGTCTCTTGCATTCAGTACAAGCTCAGATAGTAGTATGAGGTACAAGTTACACTTCAATCATACACGCATTTCATTTACGATTGTCCGCAAAATTTAATTTCGTTGAAATTCTCGCTCTTCAAACAGTTGACTATGGAACAGTCTTGCAGTCGACTATGACATGGACGTAAGAAAATGCATAAGCCATTGATTCGATTATTTTTTTATCGAAAATGGCTTTCTGTGTTTACACAGAGATCACGTGACTATACACGTCCATACACACACTCTCTTGTTGATTTCCTATCCAGGTTGAAATAGGCTTTCTATCAATATATAGCCTTGTGTGTTCACTATATATTTTATATGAAAATATCAGTTTAGAAAATCAATACTAAAAA